CAAGTGCTCTACCATTGAGCCACCTTCCTAGCCCTAAAATAAAAAGCTTTTGAGAATTATTTTGACTTGAACTCCACCAAACCTCAAAAATTGTTTTGTTTTTTCTTTTTTTTTTTTTTTTGCCGGTCGTTGGGCTTGAACTCTGGGCCTGGACGCTGTCTCTCAGCTCTGGCTCAAGGCTAGCACTCTACCACTTGAGCCACAGCACCACTTCCAGTTTTTCTGGTGGTTTATTGGAGATTAGTCTCTCAGACTTTGCTGCCCGGGCTAGCGATCCTCAGATCTCAGCCTCCCAAGTAGCTAGGATTATAGGCGTGAGCCACTGGCATCCAGCAAAAAACATGTTTTTTATGAAGTTAAATATAGGAAGTCTTGAAGTAGCGCTATGGATCAAGTGGTAGAGCACTAGCCTTGAGCTGATGAGCTGAGGGACAGCGCCCAGACCCAGAGTTCAAGCCCCACGACTGACAAAAAAAAAAAGGAAGTCTTGGGGCTGGGAAGGTGGCTCAGTGATAGAGTACTTGCCTTGCATGCATGAGGCCCTGGGTTCGATTCCTCAGCACCAAATAAGCAGAAAAAGTCAGAAATGGTGTTGTGGCTAAAGTGGTAGACCACTCACTTGGGCTGAAGAGCTTAGGGACAGTGCCCAGGCCCAGAGTTCAGACCCCACAAGCAACAACAACAAAAAAAAAAAAAAATGGGAAGTCTGCCAGGCAGTAGTGGCTCACACCTACTATCTGAGCTACTCAGGAGGCTGAGTGAGATCTAAGGCTCACAATTCAAAGCCAGCCTGCTCAGGAAATTCCTGGAGACTCTTATCTTCAATTAATCACAAAAAAAGGAAAGTGGAGCTATGGCTCAAGTGGTAGAGCACTAGATTTTGAGTAAAAGGAGCTCAGAAACGCACCCAGGTCCTGAGTTCAAGTTTCAGGAGTGGCACTAAATTTAAAAAAATAAAAAAGCCAGGAAACATCTAAACTACATTCCTTACATTAAATATAATGAAGAAAAATGAAAAATTTTTAGCCAGGTGCCAGTGGCTCATGCCTATAATCTGGAACTACTCAGGAGTCTAAGATCTGAGTATGATGGATCAAAGCCAGCCCAAGCAGGTATATCCATGAGACTATCTCCAATTAACCACTAGAAAACCAGAATTGGCACTGTGGCTCAAGGGGTAGAGTGCTAGCCTTGAGCTGAAGAGCTCAGGGACAGAGCACAGGCCCCATGACTGACAAAAATAATAATAATAATAATTTTAGTAATATTACTCTGCCTTAACTCCAAATTGGGTGCATGACTCAAGTTGTACCGTGCCTGCCTAAAAAAATATGAGGACTTGAATTCAATTCCTAATACCAAAAGATTATACTCCTGCAACACAATTACATTCCTAAAAACACTCGTATAGTATCATGAAACTCATATGCTCAAGGGTATGAGAGGCTCAAAATAGCTTCATGAATTATAAATCCTGTTTGTCATATTATTACCTATTGGAAGGAGGCGGCTGCTGTACCTGAGGACCACGTGTTGCTTGAGTTACTGGTACTTTAGCAAGCCCCAGCATTTCCTGTAAAGAGATTATTTATCTAAGTGATATTCAATGTTTACAAAGAGTTATGAACCTATTTACCATGTTCAAGGTGCTATACTAGAAATTAGGGACACAAAAATAAAGAACACAACAAGGTCTCTTTCCTCAGAAGACAAACAGTACAGTTGGAGACACTATAAAGGAAGCAATACTAATTCAATGAAATTATCATGAGAAAGTACAAGGTATATAAGAAAAACAGATTATTAAGTTAGAAATATTCATATATAACTATATAACTCAGAGTCAAAATGGATATGGAGCACACACC